GGAACGAAGTGAGATGGGGAAGAACTAGATTGGAAGAGAACTGGATTGGAGGAGAACTAGATTGGAGGGCTAGAAGAGTGTACTAGAGTAACGAGATGGAAGATGAGGAAGAGCCAGATGGGGAAGAACAAGATGAGAAAGGAGATGGGAGAGGAGCCAGATGAGAAAGAACTAGACAGAGTAGAAAGACCAAGATGGGACAGAAAATAAGATAGCACTTAGAGGATACAGCAGATAAATCTAGTGAGAAATCTAGCAAGAAAGGAGCTAGGCATGAGAGCAGAATAGAAGCTGTGTGTAGCTAGAGTTTTTCTGGTCCTGCCTGGCCCACAGTCAGGACAAATCTGTTTTACCTGCTAGTCTCGCAGCTGCTCAGATCCAACCAAGTAAACACATAGAGACTTATATTGTTTACAAACTGTATGGCCGCAGCAGGCTTCTTGTTATCTAGTTCTTCTATCTTAAATTAATCCATTTCTATAAATCTATACTTTGCCATGTGTCTTGTGGCTTACCGGTACCTTACATCTTGCTTGTCATGGCGGCGGCTGGCAGTGTCTCTCTGCCTCAGCCTTCCACTTCCCAGAATTCTCTTCTCTGCTTGTCCTGCCTATACTTCCTGCCTGGCTACTGGCCAATCAGTGTTTTATTTATTAACCAATCAGAGCAACACATTTGACATACAGAACATCCCACAGCAGCTGTGTAGAGAGAGAACTGACTCAGAAGAATAAAGTGAATGAACTAAGAGTTTCATGTACGTAGATTCATTTAATATCATCAAAGATTAGATTATCAGTTGGTTGTAGATTCTTCCTGGACCCTGGGAGAGGACTATCGAGGGGCTGGATCCCAATAGTCTCCATTACCTTATCACCATGCACTTCACTGTGGAGTCTCTAGAATGGACCTGCGGGGCCCTGCCTGGCTGACTGACAGAGATAGCTACATCAGATCATAGCTGAAGCTGTCCCTGACAACCTGCAACACACTAGAAATGTTAGCAATAAGTTTGCTTGCTTTAAGATTTTGCTTGCCAGGACCCCAAGAAAAACACGGGAATCGCCCAATGACAGAGAAATGGATGAGATCTACATGAACAGCCTGTACATGAGTGGGGGTAATGAAGGGCGAGGGTAGAGGGAAAGAGAGTTTGGGGAAGCAGAAGATCCCAGCTGGATCAAGAACAGAGAGGGAGAACAAGGAATAAGAGACCATGGTAAATGAAGGCCACAGGAGAATAGGAAGAAGCAAAGTGCTAGAGAGGTCCACAGAAATTCACAAAGATACCCCCACAATAGACTGCTGGCAATGGTCAAGAGACAGCCCGAACTGACCTACTCTGGTGATAGGATGGCCAAACACCCTAATTGTCGTGCTAGAAACCCCATCCAATGACTGAGGGAACTGGATGCAGAGTTCCACAGCTAGGCCCCGGGTGGAGCTTCAGGAGTCCAATTAGTGAGAAAGAGGAGGATTTATATGAGCAAGAATTGTTGAGATCAAGGTTGGATAAAGCACAGGGCCAAATAGCCAAACGAATGGAAACACATGAACTATGAACCAATGGCTGAGGGGCCCCCAACTGGATCAGGCCCTCTGAATGGGTGAGAAAGTTGATTGGCTTGATCTGTTTGGGAGGGATCCAGGCAGTGGGACCGGGTCCTGGGCTCGTTGCATGAGTTGGCTGTTTGAAACCTGGGGCTTATGCAGGGACACTTGGCTCAGCCTGGGAGGAGGGGACTGGACCTGCCTAGACTGAGTCTACCAGGCTTTGCCCTGGAGGTGGTGGGAATGGGGGGATGGATTGGGGGGAAGGGGAGGGGGCAGGAGGGGAGAGAACAAGGGAATCCGTGGCTGATATGTATAACTAAATTATATTGTAAAATAAAATTAAGTTAAATTTAAAAAAAAGATTTTGTTTGCTTATTTGTTTTTATTATTATGAAACAAAGGATTCATCTAGGTTCTTACACTACTAGGCAAGCTTTATGCCACCGAACTGTACCACTAGTCCTCTTTTGAGCTTTCCTTTTGAGAGAGGGCCTTAGGTTGCCCAGGCTGGCCTTGAACCTACTGCCTAGCTTAGGAAGGGCCTGAACCTGTGATCCAATATTGTTCTTCAGAATTCTCTACTGTTTTCTGTAAATGTTTTTGACTTTCAAAACACTTTTTACCTCTGCTACCATGATGCAGAGTTTCCTTCATCTGGCTCCTTTTATTGTTTCGATCTAAAGTTATCCATTTAATGTCCCATTTATAAGACTGTCACCAGATTTATGGTCGCATGCAATCTGTGCCTAGCAAACCAGATTTAGCCACTCATCCCCGATAAGTCAATTGAAAGAGCCAAATGAATAATGAAAACAATAAAGAATGATTTATTCACCGGGCGGTGGTGGCGCACGCCTTGAATCCCAGCACTCGGGAGGCAGAGGCAGGCGGATCTCTGTGAGTTGGAGGCCAGCCTGGTCTACCAAGTGAGTTCCAGGAAAGGCGCAAAACTACACAGAGAAACCCTGTCTCGAAAAACCAAAAAAAAAAAAAAAAAAAAAAAAAAAAAGATTTATTCAATGAGGGATGAAGAGATTCAGAAAGCAAAAGATAGCTAAAGCAGTCCCACCAAAGTGTGGTCCTGCCCATCACTATCTCAGCCTCAGTCTCTCCCATAGTTAGTGTCTTCCTACATCATCATCATCTAACAAGCTGTAAGTCTGTCACCAGAGACAAGTTTCTCTTCTGGCTGACAAAAACTCCTTCTCTGGTTGTCCCCAGGGTGTGGACCTTTTCTTCCCCATCAACAGATTACTAGAGAAATTCTATTTACTGGGGGGATCTATTTGATTCAATAGTCTGATAGGCCAAGATGAGGACACATGTATGTCTTTTGGATGTATTTGTTCCTGCCAGGCAGGCCTCTATTTTAATAAGAAACCAAAGCTTATTGGCCTTCAGAAACGTTGACATCTCTTTAGCTGTCCACCCTTAACATAATCCAAAAGGCAGAAACCAAAGGCAAACATTTTAGGCACCAAGAAGACAAGTGAGAAAGAAATTTGGGGACCAGTAATGTTTGCCTGGTGTCTCACAAATGATCTACAGAAAAACAGGTACCTTCAGAGCCTCCATAATTCATATAAATGTTTATAATTTAGCACTAGAAAGAATTTTAAAATGGAATTTCCTAAATGCATATTTTATTCTTTTCTGCCTCTGCCCCATCAACTCTGACTCTTCCTGTGCCCACCTGACTT